CATTTCCAGGTTTCTGGTGGTTAATTGGAGATAAGAGCCTCATGGACTTTCCTGCCTGCGCTGGGTTTGAACTGCAATCCTCACATCTCAGCATCCTGAGTAGCTATGATTACAGGCGTGAGCCACAGGTGCCTGGCTCAAAAATTTTTAAGTGTTAAAGGCTTAGGAAGGGCTGAAGGCATGGCTCAAGTGGTCAAGCACTTTAACAAGCTAAGTAATTCAAACCCCTATACTAGCAAAAAAGAATAAGGATAAGGAAGACATCATCTATATTTTTGAATGTATTATATTTGTTTTACTATCCCCTAAATAGCCACTTGTCTGAATCTAGTTAAATGTAATGTTTAACCAATCTTTACATTTTTTAAGTCATTTTACCATTCTGTAAAATAAGAATTATTATTAGGAAGTTGCAATTCAAAAAATTCCTGCTATAACAGGAAATTCAGATGTCAGGGCTGGGGTGTTACTCAGTATTAGAGCACTCACCCAGCATGTTCAAGACAGGATGTGATCTTCAACACTGAAAAAACAGACAAACAGATAAATAGATAGATAGATAGATTAGAGAATTAGTATTGAAAATCCCAAATTTTATTCTTTTTTAGCTATGAAAATCACATCTCCACATTATATAAATCTTGAAAAAAATCATTTTATTACCATACCATATAAAGTATTTGTATTTCATTATTCAGTCTCTCTCTTACACACATATTATTAGCAGGTATTAAATAAATGTTAATTTATTTTTAGATCAGTACTACTAAATCTATAAACTGCAGTCCCCCCAAAAAAATTTTTTTGGTGTTTTTCAATATTACCGTTTTTATCGAGTAGTTGTATAAAGGGGTTACAGTTGCCTAAGGCAAAGATGATTTTTTCAAAGTGGTGCTAAGGCCTTTAAAACATGTTATTTAGGTGCTTTATCACTGAGCTACATTCCCATTGTTTTGTAATGTTATGTAAACCAACGAAATTTGTATAACACCGGGCACTGGTAGCTCATGCCTGTAATCCTAATTACTCAGGAGGATGAGATGTAAGGATCACAGTTCAAAACCAGCCAGGGCAGGAAAGTCCCTGTAAGACTCTTCAATTATCCAACAGAAAACCAGAAGTAGAGCTGTGGCTCAAAGTGGTAGAGCTTTAGCTTTGAACCGAAGAGCTCAGGGACAGCACCTAGTCCCTGAGTGCAAACTCCATTGGACCAACAATAACAACAAAAACTTGCATAGCATTTTATCCATACCCCCCGTGGTGCTGAGGATTAACCCAGGGCCCCATGAATGCTAAGTAATATTCTAACACTAAGCCACATCTCTGGTCCCACCCCACAATTTTTGTTTTGTGACAGGATTCTTGTAAGCCTAATTAGACCTCCAAGAACCTCCTTCCTCTTCTTTTCCAGTTCTGGGATTACATTACAGCTGTTTTACCTACATACCTACTCCATGACATTGATTTTAATAAGGATACAAGCACTATGTACTATAAGCTTTGCAAAATTATTTATATGCATGTAATGGGTTTTAACTGGATACATTTTCTATTAATGACAAATCTGAAATTCCAGATGGCAGAACAAAATACTTCAATGTTTTTTTTTTTTTTTTGGGGTCCGTTCGTGGGGCTTGAACTCTGGGCCTGGGCGCTGTCCTTCAGCTAAGGCTAGCACTCTACCACTTGAGCCACAGCGCCACTTCTGGCTTTTTTCTTTTTGTTTATGTGGTGCTGAGGAATCGAACCCAGGGCCTCAGGCATGCAAGGCACGCGCTCTACCACTGAACCACCTTCCCAGCCCCTTCAATGTATTTTTTTTATTTAAAAATTTAAACTAAGCTTTATCTATATAGAATAGAAAGTTTCTGTTCAAGTGCACATGACTATGTTAAATATATGTAAGTATTTAACTCACAGATTAGATGTTTTATATAAGCAATAGTAAATAATACTTAGGATAGTACTCTAAGAAGAAAATTAATCTAGTAATAGGCTAGTTGAAGATAGAGTGCTCGACTTCTCTCATTAATAATGGATTTTAATGTGATCTGGACCTCAATCTTTCCTTTTCTGCCAAGTGGGGCTAGGTAACAATTTTGTTCTTTCTGGCTGCAAATTCATACTTTTTATTAGTTGGCATACTTTCATTCCTTGGAACAGTCCTTTGAAATAGATGTCATTTCCACTAGGAAAGATTAGTAGTTCATACAGTGTAATCATTTTATTCATTTTATCACACTGCAAATTTTGTCTTCCAAACAGGTTGATAATAAAATTATTTTTAGATGAGGTTGGATTACACTCATAATCCAGTTATTGAGGAGGTGGAGATGGAGAGAACTGTGGTTTGAGACCAGCCAGGGCAAAAAGTTAGCAAGACCTCATCTCAGTAAGTTAGATGTGATTTTTCATCTCTAGTTCCAGCTACTTGGGAGACCAGAGATTGTAGGATCGTGATCTGAGGCCAGCCCCATGCAAAAGCAAAAGAACCTGCCTGAAAAATAACAGAAGTAAAAAAAAAAAAAAATGCTGAGGTTATGGTACAAGTAGTAGAGTGCCCTGCTTAGCAAGCTCGAGGCCTTGAATTCAAACCCATAAGTGGTATATTTTAAGTAATGGTCTTATAGCTGCTATGTTATGTCACCACTTTATAGTATAGTCTCTACTGGAGGCTTGCTTGAACTCAGGACCATGTACTTGCCCAGCTGGCACTCACTTGAGTCACTCTTCCAGCCTGCTTTTTCTGCCTGATCTGGCTTAGTACTTTGATCCTCCAGGTTTCAGCCTTTTGAGTAGTTAGGATTAGAGGTACAAACTGGTGCCTGGATATAGTAGTATAATCTCTTTTTCTTTTCTATTCTTCCTCTACCCTTACCACTATGCCAACCATAACTGTGTTGTGTGTTCTTGCTGGTACTGAAGCTTGAACCTGTGACCTGGGCACTGTCCCTGAGCTTTTTCATACCAGGCTGGCAGTCTACTATTTGAACCACCTCCACTTCTGGCTTTTGGGTGGTTAATTTGAGATTAAGAGTCTCATGAGGGCTGGGAAGGTGGCTCAGTGGTAGAGCACTTGCCTTGCATGCATGAGGCCCTGGGTTCCATTCCTCAGCACCACATAAGCAGAAAAAAAAAGCCGGAAGTGGCACTGTGCCTCAAGTGGTAGAGTGCTAGCCTTGAGCTGAAGAGCTGAGGCCCAGAGTTCAGGCCCCATGACCGGACCCAAAAAAAAAAAGTCTCATGAATGTAGCCCAGGCTGGCCCTCAATCACCCAAGCAGGTTAAGTCCTCTCTACAACTTTTCCTCAACTGCCAACTAGAGAAGGGACTCACTTGTGCCTTGGGACTGCCAACATAGCTTCAGTGACTAGGCAGAAAAGTACACCTAAGGCTCCAGCAAACAGAAAAGAATATAAACTAAAGCTGTCAGGACAGACCTCCAGCAAAATAAATTGCTGAAGAGAAAGAGACTGCTAGAACAGAGTAATAGATTCACACTATACAAGAGATATTAACCTCTCCCCCTCCAACACCGGGTTGTGGGGCTCGAACTCTGGGCCTGGGTTCTGGGCCTGGGTGCTGTCCCTCAGCTCTTCAGCTCAAGGCCAGTTACCACTTGAGCCACAGGCCACTTCCAGTTTTCTGAGTGGTTTATTGGAGATAAGAATCTCATGGACTTTTCCTGCTCCGGCTGGCTTTGAACCACAATCCTCAGATCTCAGCCTCCTGAGTAGCTAGGATTACAAGTGTGAGCCACCAGTGCCTGGCTAACATATAAACCAAATACAGAAGTAGGTTAAGTGAAGGAAAATGGCCACACAGATGCTTCATACCCTGGAGAAACTAGTAGACATGTTTTTTAAATCTGAACAAAAATGTAAAACAAGGGACAAAAAAAACCTGATTTTGAGAATAGAACCAGCAGCAGCAGACCTGCAGTATATAATGGGACTTCTAAAATGGGAGAGGGGGACTATAATTGTAAAACCAAAATTTTTTAATTGAAAAAGATGCAAGTTTATAGGTTCAAGGGCATACCGAATTCCAAGCTTATGATAAATGACAGTTACCAAGTGCTCGTTTGCCAGACAAGAACTCCTTTATGGGCGGGGTGGGGGGGGGTTAAGAATGGGAAGGGATGGGAAGGGGAAACAAAGGAGGAGGCAACAATGCTTGATAAAAAATGCACTCATAACTTTGCCCATGTAATTGTAACCCCTCTGTACAGTATTTTCACAATGAAAAAAAAGAAAAGAACTCCTTGAATCTTCTGTATAGCCTGCAAAATAGGTAAAATTAACTCCTTTACTCAGATGAAGAAAAAGGAAGTGAAGTGGATAGGCAGAATGTGAATCTAAGCCTTACTACACAATGAAAAGCAGACACCTATGTTCACATATAAAGTTTAAAAACACTGAAGATTAAGATGGTGAAAGTTTATAAGTTCCAGGGAGGAAGAATGAGCTATGAAAAGAAAAAAAATCCTCATCTGCAGCAGCCTTCAGCCAGAAAACTGCAGAAATTATCCTCCTTAAGAGGACAGAACTGTCTGAGGAAAGGCATGGTAACTATACCTGTATCCTAGCTATTTGATAGGCAGTTCAGGATTGTGATTGAAGGCCAGCCTGGGCAAATATGAGTGACCCAATCTCACCTAATAACCTAGACATGGTGGCATACACCTGTGATCTCATCCACTCAGGTGGAGGTAGAAGGATCTTGGTCCAAGACTAGTTTTGGGCAAAACCCAGGAGACTCAGCTTGAGTTGATCTCAGATTGCAGTTTTCCTATACTGCCATCTTAGTAGCTGGGATTAAATTGTATACCTCCATGTCTGGCCCTCTATTACTTGATTTTTAAAGAACAATGACAACAGAAAAAGTGTAGGGAAGAGTCAGTACAAGGTTGGTTAAAAATTGGTTAAATAAAAAAAAATCATAAATTTCTTTGATACTCTTAAAAAATAATGGTAAATGTTCTTTTTTATTTTTTTTCAGATTAAAGCTAAAAATTATGACAAAGTTGAAAAGGTGAGTTCTCTGAAAATAGTTCGAGTTTTATGCTGAGGATTTTATGTAGATGTAGGTGCATATATGGCAGAGATAGTAAAATATTAACTGCTGTTAGTGATTATATAGGAATTGTACACATTCAGCTTTCTTAACTTTCTAAAAATATTCATAGAAATGCTCAAAAAGGAGGATTATGTATTTGTTTATGCAGGATTGGAATTTTAAAAAAAGAAAATAAGTATGCTCTACAACCAAAAGCACAAGAATTATTTTATTTTGTTGGGGGCCTGGGCACTGTCCCTCAGCTCTTCAGCTCAAGGCTAGTGCTCTACTGCTCTGATCCACAGCACCACTTCTAGTTTTCAGGTGATTAATAGGAGACAAGAGTCTCACAGACATTCCTGCCTGGGCTTGTTTGAACTGTGATTCGCAGATTTCAGCCTCCTGAGTAGCTAGGATTTCAGGCATGAGCCACTGGCATTGAGCTTGAGAGTGATGTTTAACTAACAGGAAATTGTTATTTGTCTTTTATAAAGAAATTAGTTCCTGAAAAGGTTCTGGATTTTTGTAACTATAGCGTTTTATTCACTGGTACATGGGTTTATTTTTTATTTTTGTGTTAATCCTGGGGCTTGAAGTCAGAGCATGGACTGTGTCCCTGAGTTACTTTTTTTTTTTTTTTTGTCGGTTGTGGGGCTTGAACTCTGTCCCTCAGCTCTTCAGCTCAAGGTGAGCGCTCTACCACTTGCTACAGCAACACTTCCGGTTTTTTGGTGGTTTATTGGAGATAGGAGTCTCAGGGTCTTTCCTACCCGGGCTGGCTTTGAACCGTGATCCTCAGATCTCAGCCTCCTGAGTAGCTAGGATTACAGGTGTGAGCCACCAGCGCCCGGCTAAACTTCCAGCTTTTTCTGCTTATATGGTGCTGAGGAATTGAACCCAGGGCCTCATGTGTGCAAGGCAAGCACTCTACCACTGAGCTACCTTCCCAGCCCCAAAATTCTATTCAGATTTTTTCTTTTTTTTTTGGGTCCGGTCGTGGGGCCTGAACTCTGGGCCTGGGCGCTGTCCCTCAGATCTTCAGCTCAAGGTTAGCACTCTACCATTTGAGCCACAGCGCCACTTCTGGCTTTTTTCTTTTTTCTTATGTGGTGCTGAGGAATTGAACCCAGGGCCTCATGCAATGCAAGGCACGTGCTCTACCACTGAGCCACCTTCCCAGCCCCTCTATTCAGATTTTTTTATGGGGAATTAAACCCAGGACGTTGCAGTTGCTAGGCTAACGCATTACCACTGAGCTACATCCCAGCCTTACTTTTTTTTTTCCTACCACTTGAGCCACAGCTCAACTTCTGGCTTTTTGGTGGCTAATTGGAGATTAAGAGTACTTACAGACTTTTCTGCCTGGGCAGGCTTTGAACCATCATCCTCAGATCACAGACTCCTGCATAATTAGGATTACAGGTGTAAACCACCAATGTGAGGCAACACATGAATTTTATTTTATGAATTCTGATAATATTTTCTTATGTTTAAAGCTATTTCAGAGATGCCTTATGAAGGTTTTACACATTGATTTATGGAAGTGCTACCTTTCCTATGTTCGCGAAACAAAGGGTAAACTACCAAGTTACAAGTAAGTGAAATCAGGATCTTTTTTATTTTTTAAAGATTATTTTTATTAGCATATGTTAGTTATACAAGGGAGAGTTCATTGACATTTCCATGAAACGCTATCACTCTCCCTTCTTTCCTCCCCTTATTAAATATAAAATCTAGATCCTAAAAGACTGCAAATCATCTCCAGGCATATTGTCAGTTCCTCATTAACTCTGTTGTTTCTTGACATCATGAGGAGATTTAAAACTTAGGTTTTCCAGGAAATTAGCAAAAGTGCTTCAAAGAAAACGTCTGGCATTAGAATTATATCGGCCATGCCTTTCTATACAGAAGCACTGTGGATCTGCAACACCAAAGCACTTTGTTGACAGGCTTGATAAAGTTTCTCAAAAACTATCTTCATACTTGTCCAGGCACCACTCTTGCTTGTCAGGTTATAGTTGCAGTGTGCCACTAAAGCACATGCTGTGTAGCTGGCTGACTTCCCAGGATGCTTTATTACCTAGCTGCTGCCTATCTTTACTGAATCTAAATAGTGGACCTTCTCAGATACTATTTTTGTATATACCAAAGTTAAATTATATCTATGATTAGAATTCTATCTCTATTATTTTTTCTGATTATACTTACAAGTATTGAAGTATTTTCTCTCTCAATTTTATTTTATTTTATTTTTTTCTCTCTCAATTTTATATTGAATTTCTTTCTCCCTCAATTTTACTTCCAATGTAATAGAGCTTCAGGTATAACTTACCTACCCCTTACTGAGAGAACTATTTCCACATCTAAATGTGGTATGAAACTGGGCAACTTAAAGGATATAAAACTGAATAAGATATGGGCTTTATCTTTGATAAACTCATAAGCAGTATATAAAGCAAGCAAAGTAAACAAATGAATGACCTTGACAAGTACAATATAAAAGAACTCATATAACTTCCAAAGATGCCTTTAATTTTTGTTTATTGCAAAGGTTCAGACATTCTAATCATATGATTGGAAGTTATACATTTCATTGTAAATATATTTTTATAACAAAAATTTTTAAATGTGTCTTTATATTTCAGAGAAAAAATGGCTCAAGCTTATGACTTTGCACTGGATAAAATTGGAATGGAAATTATGTCTTATCAGGTAGTGTTAGAAAAATTAAAATATACACACAAATTTGAAAATGTCAAGAAAGATACTAACATTTTGTTTTATTTCTTAGATTTGGGTGGATTACATCAATTTCTTAAAAGGCGTGTGAGTAATTTTGTCATTTAAAATTTTAAAAATTAAAATTAAAAATAAATAAAAATAGTTAAAATATTGACTATACATAGAATTAATTTAGAATTAGCTATAATATAATTGGTGACATTTGTCATCCAATTTCAGGGAAGCTGTTGGGTCTTACGCAGAAAATCAGAGGATAACAGCTGTTCGAAGAGTTTATCAGCGAGGTTGTGTTAATCCAATGATCAACATCGAACAGCTCTGGAGAGACTATAACAAGTATGAAGAGGTAAATTAAGCCAGAATAGTTTACTATGATAAGCCAAGACATTTTATTTTTTTTCCATTGTGAATTTGTGGAATCTAGCCTTTTTAATATAAGATACCTGAGTATCAATGTTAGATAGTCTCTGGGGAGTTTGTTCATGTTAGAAGTTAAAGCTGAGAAAAATCTCTGTATTTATTATTAGTTCACTTAAAAGTAATAGTAATATGCCCTTTACATTTCAGTCTAAGTAGCATCAAAAGCAAGTATTTTCCAAAACAAGAAACAATTTAGCAAGGTAGCATTGAGTATAATTTTGAAAACCTTTTTAATGTCTGAATAGAAAGCAGCTAAATTTTCTTTTCTTGTGTGTGCCAGTATTATGGCTTGAACTCGGGGCCTATTGTTCTTGCTTAGTTGTTTAGGTGAAGGCTGGCACTTGAACCACATTTCCACTTTTGACTTTTTGTTGATTAATTGGAGCCTGGGATGGCTTCAAACCATCTTCAGAGATCTCAACCTCCTGAGTAGCTAGGATTACAGGTATAAGCCACCATACCCAGCTCAAATTTTCATATCTGCTTCTAAATTGTATCATTTATGATACTGAATGTAAAACTTCACTGTATTTTTTGAGAGAAAGAGAGACAAATACTGTTTTAAGTAAAAAATATTTTAATCTCGCTGGATGCTGGTGGCTCATGCCTGTAATCCTAGCTAATCAAGAAGCTCAGATCTGAGTGTCAGGGTTCAAAGCCAGCCCAGGCAAGAACATCCATGATTCCATGATACTCTTATCTCCACTTAACAACCAGAAAACCGGAAGTGGCACTGTGGCTCAGAGCAGTAGAAAACTAGTCTTGAGCTGAAGAGCTCAGGGCCAGGGGCCAGGCCCAGAGTTCAAGCCCTACAACCAGAAACAAATTTTTTTTTTTTTTAAATCTCATGGACCTCCTAAAAAGGTCCTGGAAGCAGGAATTCTTCAACAACTCACTGAAAGCTGCTAAGCATGAGTTCACTGTCCCTCCCTTCCTTTGTACCTTGCTCCCTGTAGCCCCTTTTTAAGCTGTGCTCACCTAGTTAGCAAAAGGAGAGATAGATAGATAGACAGACAGATAGACCGACCAATCATGACTATTCACCCAGATGAAGCTATACTGTATTAGTAACATTTTTATAAGAAATAATGACCCTTGCCAAATTATTTCCTATTTTTAAAAAACTTGTGATTTATAAAAACCACTGATAGCTCATAAAAAATAATTATTCAACTTAAAAATAATTTTTTCAGGTTGGAAATGTGGTTTAGTGGCAGAACACTTGCCTATTTGCACAGCACACACTGCACCTAGATTTAATCCCTGGAATTGACTTCCAAGAAATTAATAATGTATGGTTTTGCTTTTTTCTTAGGGTATCAATATTCATTTAGCTAAAAAAATGATTGAAGATCGGAGTAGAGACTACATGAATGCTAGACGTGTAGCAAAGGTATGGAATTCTATCAGACCACTTACTTTAATGATTATCAGTGCTATGTATAGCAAAGCTTTCCTTTCCTGTCTTGTATGAATATTGATATTTTCTTTCATTAGCAATCCTAAGTAATGATAACTAATTATAGATAATTGACGTCATATCAACTAATAATTATCTGTCTGAGAAAATGGTGTATTTACAATAAAATACTTCTAAAAACAGATTCTCTACTGATGGCATTATGCCAACATGTCCTCAGTCATGTTGCTCTGTCAACTGGTACATCCCAGAGCGAGCGAGACCCTCATAGATCCTGCAGACAGAGCCCATGGGTTTCTGTTAACTCATTCCTGATAACCTGTTTTGGGGTGTGTAATATTCTGTTATCTTTTTCTCTACTCTTAGTTTTTAGATTATATTAACAAGTGGGGGTTTTTGTTTTGTTTGTTGTTGGTTTTTTGTTTTTGTTTTAGTTGGTCATGGGGCTTGAACTCTGGGCCCGGGTGCTCGCTGTTCCTGAGTTCTTCGGCTCAAGGCTAGCACTCTACCACTTGAGCTACAGCACCACTTCTGGTTTTCTGGTGGTTAACTGGAGATAAGAGTCTCATGGACTTTCCTGCAGAGGCTGGCTTTAAACTGTGATCCTCAGATCTCAGCTTCCTCTGAATAGCTAGGATTATAGGTGTGAAACACCGGCGCCAAGTTACAAGTGATGTTTTTAACAAAATTTTCCAATCTCATTAACTCCAGTCTGTATCTAAGTTGTTCTCAGCTCACCAAAGAATTCTGCTTGTTGTTAGGAATATGAGACCGTAATGAAAGGCTTGGATCGGAATGCTCCTTCAGTGCCTCCTCAGAATACTCCTCAAGAAGCTCAGCAAGTCGATATGTGGAAGAAGTATATACAGTGGGAAAAGAGCAACCCTCTTCGTACAGAGGATCAGACTCTTATAACAAAAAGAGGTGACAAGATAACCCTGCTGGAGTTCTAATTAAATAAATGGACATGAGGCCATTTGATATTAACCCATAGACTACTTGAGGCTCTTGATGTTTTGGTTTTGTTGTTGTTTTTTCCACTAAGATCTCTATATGTAGCTGCCTCAAAGTCACTATGTAGACCAGGTTGGCACTGAACTTGTGATCCTACTCCTTAGCCTTCTACGAGCAAGGGTTATAATCATGTACCACTATGTCCAGCTGAGGCTCTTTTTTTCTTTATTGATTTGTTTGTTTATGGTGGTACTTTGGACTGAATCCAGGGCCTTGTGCTTGTTAAGCAGGTACTCAATCACTGAGCCCCATCTCCAGCCTCTGATGCTCTATTTTTAAAGTCAGGTTATGAGTACAATGCTTCTTAATCAATGTCTCCCATTCTGTTGTTCTTCTTCCCATCCTTATGCACAAGAAATGTAGTTCATTTTTTTATATAATATATATTGGCTATAATGACTCTCACCCTTCCTTCCTCCATTCCTGTGCCTTCTTTTTGCCCTGCCCCCAAAAATATGTTAACGCTTCCTGACATTTTGGTAAACAGTACATTAATTGTTCAAGGGAGTTACACCTTGGGACTCTCCCCTAAGTATACATACCATCCTTTAGTTGGTTTGTTTGTATGTATATGCATAGAGCCCTGTATATGTTGTTATGTATGTTTGTGTTTTAGATCAGCCTTCTGCATAAGAGAAAACATGTGCCATTTGTCTCTCTGAGTTTGACTTACTTAACATAATTTTTTCTAGGTCCATTCATTTCCCTGCAGATAACGTACTATTATTCTAATAGATGAGTAAAATTCCATTATATATATGTACCACATTTTCTTGTGGCTCCTATTATCTTTCTTTCTTTCTTTCTTTTTTTGTCAGTCGTGGGGCTTGAACTCTGGGCCTGGGCGTTCTCGCTCAGCTCTTCAGCTCAAGGCGAGCACTCTACCACTTGAGCTACAGTGTCACTTCCGGTTTTCTGTTGGTTTATTGGAGATAAGAGTCTCACAGTCTTTCCTGCCCGGGCTGGCTTTGAACCGCGATCCTCAGATCTCAGCCTCCTGAGTAGCTAGGATTACAGGCGTGAGGCACCAGCGCCCGGCCTATTATCTTTTTTTGAAGAATGTGGAGTTCTATTTCACAGGAAGCTGAATTACTTAAGACCACTTTGTCTTTGTGGTTTAGGGGTTTTGTTTTTGTGCCAGTCCTAGATCATGAATTTAGAGCCTAACCCCTATCCCTTTGTACTCAAGGCTACTGCTCTACCATTGACCCACAGCTCTACTTCTGGCCTTTTGTCCAACTTGTTGGTGGCTAATTGGAAACAAGAGTCTCAGGGACTTTCTTGCTTGGGCTGGCTTTGAATTGTGATCCTCATATCTCAGCCTCCTGAGCATCTAGGGTTACAGGTATGAGCCACCAGCACTTGGCAATGAGGCTTGGTTTTATACTATTATGATAAATCAGTTTTAGGGGGTTTTGTTGTTGTTGTTTGTTAGTTGTGGGCTGGAACTTTGGGCCTGGGTGCTGTCTCTGAGCTTTTCTGTTCAAGGCTAGTGCTCTCCTACTTTGAGCCACAGCTCCACTTCCAGTTTTCTGGTGGCTCATTGGAGATAACAGTCCTGGGGTGAGGGTAGGGAGGGGAACTGGGAAGGTGGCTCAGTGGCAGAGTGATTGCCTTGCATGCATGAGGCCCTGAGTTCAATTCCTCAGCACCACATAAGCAGAAAAGGCTGGAAGTAGTGCTGTGGCTCAAGTGGTAGAGTGCTAGCCTTGAGCTGAAGAGCTGAGAGACAGCATCCAGGCCCAGAGTTCAAGCCCCATGACCAAAAAAAAAAAAAAAAAGTCTCACAGACTTTCCTTCATAGGCTGGCTTTAAATTGTGATCCTCTGATCTCAGCCTCCTGAGTAACTAGGATTACAGGCGTGAGCCCCACTCAGTTTTAATTTTTTTACCTAAGAGTAAATCCCTTAGTCTTGGGATAAAGTTTTTGTCCTAAAGCATAATGGAAAAGTCCAAAGTGTTTATCCAGATCTTTTAACCAGGTAGATTTCAAATTCTAACTTGCTTCTTCTAGTTATCAGTGGAGACAGCTATTCAACTCTCTCAGCCTTTCATTTTTGCTTTGTATTCTTTCCTGTGTATGTACATTTCAAGGATTGGCTGAGGATTTGCAAATATTCTGGCACTTTTCTTTTGGGAACTTCCACAGACATTTATAGTTTCTAGATAGTCTCATAACCAAGAATTCCATATCACTTTAATCAGTAAAACTGCAGAACTTGACTAGACATCTAGTTGCAAACACATGGGTGTACTCTTCAAGAAAAATAGCTTATTAAATATGGATCTCAAGCCAGGCGCTGGTGGCTCACGCCTGTAATCCTAGCTACTCAGGAGGCTGAGATCTGAGGTTCGAGGTTCAAAGCCAGCCCGGGCAAGCCAGCCCGGGCAAGAGAGACCGTGAGACTCCTATCTCCAATAAACCACCAGAAAACCGGAAGTGGTGCTGTAGCTCAAGTGGTAGAGCGCTCGCCTTGAGCTGAAGAGCTGAAGGACAGCGCCCAGGCCTAGAGTTCAAGCCCCACAACCAACAAAAAAAAGAAAGAAAGAAAGAAAATAAATATG